TGTGGCTCAGTGGGTTAAGCCACTGCTGTGGAGGCCTGTGTCCCTTATCAGAGCGCCGGTTCGAGTCCCAGTTGCTCTGCTTCCCATCCAGCTCCCTGTTAATGCATCTGGGAAGCAGCAGGTGACAGATTAAGGGTTTGAGTTCCTGCCACCCATGTGGGAGACCAGGACGGAGTTCCTGGCTCCTGCCTTTGGTCTGGCCCAGCCCTGACTGTTGTGGCCAACTGGGCAGTGAGCCAGCAGGTGGAAGATCTGTTTCTCCTCCTCTCTCTGGCACTCTGCCTTTCAAATAAATAAACATCTTAAAAAAAACCTCATTAAAAAATGAAAAATAACTGAAACAAGAGAAGTCTTATCTGTGGATATGCTTTAAGTAAGGCATGAAAATTCAGTTTTTTTTTTTTTTATTTGACAGGCGGAGTTATAGACAGTGAGAGAGAGAGAGATAGAGGGAAAGGTCTTCCCTCTGCTGGTTCACTCCCCAAATGGCCGCTGTGGCTAGTGCTGCGCAGATCCGAAGCCAGGAGCCAGGCACCCCCTCCCAGTTTCCCACGTGGGTGCAGCACTTGGCCCAAGCACTTGGGCCATTCTCCCTTGCCCTCCCGGGCCACAGCAGAGAGCGGGACTGGAAGAGGAGCAACCGGGACTAGAACCCGGTGCCCATATGGGATGCCAGTGCTGCAGGCAGAGGATTAACCAAATGAGCCACAGCACTGGCCCCGAAAATTCAGTTTCTAGCCCATGCACCAAAGCAGGATCCTGCTTCTGACAGAGGACAGCCTCTCCCACCTGCTCTTCCCGCTTCCTTCTTCTGATGTGGGCGACAGGGAGTCAGGGATAGGAGCTAAGGGCTGCCAATACCTAAGCCATGTGCAACTGCCCAGATCCCATCACCTGGCATGCCAGTTCAGTGTGGCTGAAGACCCAACACGCTCACTCATCATGCAGCTAAGCCTCACCTTGCATCCAGCGCCAGGTACCAAGATGCCTTCTTGGGGGCCAGCAGGTGCACCGCAGCCCCACCCCAAATCCTGTATCTTTGGATGCCCATCAGGCTCCGCCCTGAGCACCACCCCTACCCTGTCGAAGTTTGACCCCAGCCTGGGTGGGGGCAATTCTCTCTCTTGAGGTCGCCTGCATTCACATCTGAGTGTGTGCTTTCTGCCTTCCAATAAATCCTGCTCCTCTGTCCACCTCTCTCTAACTTCCTGGCTGCATTTTTTTTAAAGATCTATTTTTTATTTATTTGAAAGACAGTTACAGAGAGAGGGAGAGGGAGAAAGAGAGAGAGAGAGAGAGAGAGAGAGAGAGAGAGAGAGAGGTCTTTCATTCACTGGTTCACTCCCCAGATGGCTGCAACAGCCAGAGCTGTGCCAATCTGAAGCCAGGAGCCAGGAGATTCTTCCGGGTCTCTCATGTGGGTGCAGGGGCCCAAGGACTTGGGCCATCCTCTACTGCTTTCCCAGGACACGGCAGAGAGCTGGATCAGAAGAGGAGCAGTCGGTTCTAGTCCTGGTGCCCATATGGGATGCTGGTGCTTCAGGCCAGGGCTTTAGCCCGTGGTGCCACAGTGCCGGCCCCCCTGGCTGTATTCTTATGTGCCAGTAAGACAAGAACTGGACTAAATTCAACTGGGGGTCTCTCCCAGCCCAGCCAGGGCTCTGGGTCCCCACAACATAACTGGGGGATCCCCAGCCCCACAACACTTCCAGGCCCTGCCAGGGCTGCAGAGGTATCGTGGCTGCTTTCCTCAAGGGAATTCAGCTCCCCTTGGGATCCGGTTCTCACTTCTGCACCTGCTATTCAGGGCTGGGTATAGAGGGAGCCAGGCAGGCACGGGGGGGGGGGGCGCGGTGTTTAAATTTGAGGTGGTGCAAGCTGAGGGCAGGCACTTGAGAACGAGGCCTGTTCCTTTTTGCACCCCTCGTGCCTCATTTCCCTCACCCCACTCTCAATTTCCCTAGACAAGCGGCCACTGCCTGCCCCTCCGCCCCCACCAGTTCCCTGTGGAATGAAGCAGGACTGTGTCATCGACTTGGAGAGGGGAGGAGGAAAGATTAGGAGCTGGATCTGCCAACGTGTCCCCTGCGGCCATGGTCCTGCCCTGCACTGCCCTGTGGGATGTGGCCAGCCCTGCTCTAGGACTTTCTGTTTCCCTGGGCTCTGCTCCCATTAGCTCAGGTAATTCAAGCCGCTGTGGTCTGCATAGCCAGGGCAATCCAACCCGCACCTCTGACTTCTGCTAGCCCAGTCTCAACTAGTCTTTCTGGCATCAACTAGCTCTTCCTTGGTCTCATCTAGTCGTTCTGGCCTCAAATAGTCTCTGGCTTCAACTCGCCATCCTGGCTTCAATTAGCCCCTCTTTGGCCTCAAGCAGTTTTCTAATCTTGAGTGGTCTCCCTGGCCTCAAGTAGCCCTACTGGCTCCAACCAGTCTTCCCTGGACTCAACCAGCCCTCTCTAGGCCTCGGCTAGTCTCCCTGCCTGCGACGAGCCCTTGTCTCTCAGGTTTTTCTCAGCCTCAGCTTGCCCCCTGAATTTCTTGTTTTTTTGATCCATGTGCTTGCCTTACCTCCTTCTAGAACATTCTGCCAGTCCCGGAGAGCCCAGCTCGTAAATCTCCCCCACTGCTTGTCACCGCCTGGAGCGAGTTTTTCTCTCTGCTCCCTTCGGGATGACATCCATGTCACACAGCCTCATCCCCCAGGGAGCTGGGAAGAGTGATGTCCAGGAGCCCCCCAGGAGCCCCACCACACGCCAGGCCCTTCCCAGAGACATGCTCATTGAATGCTCGCAACACCCGCCCGCCATTTTACAGATGATGAGTCTGAGACTCAGAGAGCTAGCAGCCTAGGCCAGGCCTAATTTTTAGGAAATAAAAGACAAGATATTTAAACCCATTGTGTCAGGGCAGGTGCTGAGGCACAAAGGGTTAAGCTGCTGCCTGCAAAGCCAGTATCCCATATGGGTGCCAGTTCGAGTCCCAGCTGCTCCATTTCCAATCCAGCTCCCTGCTAATGTACCTGGGAAAGCAGCAGAGGATGGTCCCGAGTGTTTGGGCCCTGCACCCACGTGGGAGACCTGGAGAAGAGTTCCTGGTTCCTGGCTTTGGCCTGGCCTAGCCCCAGCCCTGGCTGTTGCAGCCATCTGGGGAGTGAATCAGTGGATGGAAGACCTCTGTCTTTCCCTCTACCTTTCAAATAAGTAAAACAACCCCATTCTGTCTGACCTCCTGGCTGTCCTTAATGGAAGTGGTGACGCCCAAGGCCCAGCACCTGCCATCAACATGGACTTGAGCGAATGAAGGAGATGTGAGCTGTGTCCTTCTGGTCTCAGATTACTCCCTGGACAGCCCAGTGGCCCAGGTCTGCCGGGACCTGGGAGGAGGCGACCTGTGCAGCCCAGCCCTTCAACAGAACACGACCAGAAAGTAGAGCACCCATAGCTAGCCCCCACCTGCCGGTGCTCGTCCTGGGGGCAGGTTTCCCAAAGTGGGGCTCCGGGGGTGTCTGTGGGGGTGAGCAGGCATTTGCATCATAAAGGGGCTCTGCCGTGGTGGAGGCTGGGAGCTGAGCTGCCTTGCAGAAAGCTCTGGGGCCTTCCCGTGGCTGGGTCTCCATGGAAATTAGTTTGCTGGGAAAGGAGCTATTTTAAGGACCTGGGAGGCTGGGTTAGGGAAGGTAGCTGCGGGAGAGCTTTTCTGAATGACTCACTAATTTCCCTCCTGCGAGGTGGAAAAACATGGCATGGAAAGAGAACTGACAGGCGGGCAGGAGATGGCGGGGCCCACCCCGACTTTGCAGGAGGCATGGAGTGGGGGGAGGTGCTGTGCCGGTGCCAGGGACTGTCCATTGTGATGACAACACCTTGGTGTTGCGTCTCCAGCCAGCTTTCCTATAACCATGCAAAGGAGCGCAGTAGACTTGACCTTGGGACTGGGGGTGCCCTTGCGGGGGAATCTCGATCGGCTGCCTTCTCGGTTGTGGAGCTCCCGAGGGTCATCAGGAGAGGAGAGACGGGACAGGTGACTGAAGGCGGCCCCAACAGATGGTGGCAGCCAGGAGCCCAAGGAGGGAGCTCCGGCTGAGAGGTGGAAAGGACACGGCTGCACGTCCTGAAACCGCGCAGTTCTGGGCACACGTGCCGCCAGCGCCAGGTCTGCACAGCAGCCCGCACCTGACTGTGGGGATGGCGGAGGAGGGCCACGCGCGTGCTCAGGGCTGGACTCAGCACAAAGGTCAGGCCTGCCCCGTGCTGTGCTCCCCTCTGAGCTGCTCCTGGGACCCCCTAGCAATGGTGGGGAGGACCTGCCATGTGTGGGTGTCTCCAGCTGCCTTTCCACCCTGGCCCACGGCCTGCTGGGCCAGAGAGCTGAGGCTGGTGGGGGCGTGGGTCAGGTTCACTGTGGGGACCAGAAAGCCAGCCAGCAGGGAGGTCCCAGTGGCCTCAGCCCCATCCTGTCAGTGTCCACCTGTCACCAGGGCACCAGTGACTGCTTTCCTCCATGGCAGACAAAGATGCCACTCCCTCGAGCTCCGTCTGGAGCCCAGGCCTGGGGTCTGTGAGCAGGACAGAGGCTGAGCAGCCTGAGGGGCAGTGCTGGCCACCACACCCTGCAGGTGGGTCTCCAAGGCTGCTCCCTGCCCATGACCTGGGGATCGTTCCATGCATGTGCCTTGTCCCTGGAGCTTGAGTGGTGAAGGATAAGAGCTGGGAGGAACTTACGGGCTCTAAGACAGCAGGTGTGTGTGCGTGGCGGGGTGCCCCTCCTGGAGGCTGGAGGAGGCATATGTGTGGGGACCGATGTCCACCCAGTTATCCATGCTAGCTTCAAGCTGGCTCTGTGGGGTCCTATCTGCTCAGGGCCATGCTTTCCCGTCACCCCCACAAACCCTCAACAGCCGTCTCTCGTGCCCCCGCAGTTGCTCCCTCAGCCCACACACATGTCTGGGGCTCTGAATGTCTGGGGTTGGGGGAGATGCCACACAGAGAACAGCAGAGTGAGAAAGGCATGGTTTATTGGTCACACAGATGGAGACCCCTGAGCACATGGGGTATGGACCCTCCTCTGCACGCACACACACATACACACTCTCACACACAACACACTGGGTTGGGTTTCCTACCTTAACTCTGTTATGTCAAAAAGCAGTACAAGAAGAGCTGTCACCAACCTATTCTTCTAGTCACCAAGGAAGCAGGGTTGGAAGCCACGGAGCTCAGCAAGCAGAGGTTGATCTATTTCGGGAGCCCGGAACCGAGCTGCCCACCCTACCAGGCAACCAGGCTGCAGAGCTGGGCTCTCAGGAGCAGCAGCTGCCTGCCGCTGGGACAGAGTGAGTGGCAGGGGCTTGGCTCAGCCCGTGGCCTGGTGGCGGCTGCCCACTTCGAGGGGAACATGGCAACCTGGCACGGACACCCGGAACGGGCCTTGGTGTGGCTGGCCCCGGGCTGTGGCCAGATCTCTCTGCTGGAGAGTTGGAGCTGCCACCTGAGGAACTGGAGAAACAGGCAGACCCTTCCTCTTCTGAGGGGCCGGGCCCCCTGGGCTTTCGCTAAAGCAGCCGCATCAGGGGAGCTGGACAGGGCCAGGCCCTTTGTACCCTCACTGAGCTGCTCAGACCATGCAGCTTCCTAAGGTTGAGCCCCGGCCTTGCTCCAGGAGGGCACTGGCCTTCTTAATGCTTTGTGCAAACCCCTCAGGACACCCAGTTCTCAGCTGGTGGGTTTGGACGCATGTTCTTAGTGGACTGGAGTCTCAGCCCTGGAGGGGGTCCCGACAGAATGTTCTGGAAGCAAGTGGCACACAGTGAGTGCTCGATCCATGTGGCCATTATTATTATTCATATTCATATTATTATTATTATTATTGATCTCTCCACCCTTGAATCGGTGCTTTGGGTCCTTTCTTATGGGGACGTGAACAAGGTGCAGGGGTCCCGAGTACCAAGACGGAGCTGGGGACCGGCGTGCAGGTGTGCGCTGCCCAGCGGGTGTGTGTTTCCCTTCCACTCTCAGCACGCGGTACCCAGCCTCGCAGCCAGCCCACGGCTTGCACCTCTCAGAAGCTGGGCCCTTTCCTGAAACAATACGAAGCTGGGCCTGGGGAGCTGGGTGGGAGGAGCTGGCAGGTCTCAGAAGAGGCTGTGGGTGGCGTCTGCTGCTCCTGTGGACTCCTGACCCGAAACGCCAGCGGCTTCCCAAGGCTTCACTGCAGGACAAGAACAGAAAGGTTGTCATTCCCCCAGGCTTCGGTGCGCCGAGTGGCCCCCACGTCCCCGCACGCCTGTACCCGGCCTCATGGATCATGCAGCACACATGGTTCCAGGTACTTTCTGCACATGAGGGGACTTCAACACATTCTTGGAAAGTGGAATTAAAAGGTAGCACAGGGACCGGCATTTGGCGCAGCAGTTAAGACCCCCTTGTCCCATACTGCAGGGCAGTGCTGGGTTTGATTCCCAGCTCTGTTTCTGGTTTCCAGCTTCCTGCTAACGCACACCCTAGGAGCAGCAGGTGACGGCTCAAGTAGTTGGGTCCCTGCCATCCATGTGGGCGGGCTGGATTGAGCTCGCGGCTCCCAGCTTCAGCCTGGCCCAGTCCTGGCTGTTGTGGGCATTTGGAGAGAGAACCGGAGGACAGAGGCTCTCTATCTGCCTGCCTGTCTGCTCTCTGCCTTTCAAATAAAATAACAACAATTTTTTTTTTTGACAGGCAGAGTGGACAGTGAGAGAGAGAGAGACAGAGAGAAAGGTCTTCCTTTTTGCCGTTGGTTCACCCTCCAATGGCTGCCGCGGCCGGCGCACCGCGCTGATCCGATGGCAGGAGCCAGGAGCCAGGTGCTTTTCCTGGTCTCCCATGGGGTGCAGGGCCCAAGCACCTGGGCCATCCTCCACTGCACTCCCTGGCCACAGCAGAGGGCTGGCCTGGAAGAGGGGCAACCGGGACAGAATCCGGAGCCCCGACCGGGACTAGAACCCGGTGTGCCGGCGCCGCTAGGCGGAGGATTAGCCTAGTGAGCCGCGGCGCCGGCCTAACAACAATTTTGAAAGACAAACGTGCATTGTCCCTGGGCTTTTCACAGCCCTCTTGTAGTCAATTATAGATACTCTAATACTCTATACATAGCTGCACATACATTCCAATCACAGAAGGAAAATATTTAAAAACCAAATTGCCTCTGTACTCAACACAGAGTGGTTTTCTTGTCGTTATTTCCTAAGCAACGCTGTGCAACAACTATTTCTACGGCATTTGCATTGCACTGGGTGAGAAGGAATCCAGAGATGACTTAAAGTGTGTAGGAAGATGTGTGTAGGTCTCACGCTGTTTCCTAAGGGGCTTCAGCATCTGTGGGTTTTGGTGTCCGTGGGGCCCTGGAAGCAGGCCCCCCATAGATCCCCAGGGATAACTGTGCACAACACTAACGCACAGTCACACAGGATGCAGTCTTAGCTCTAACCCCACGAGGGAGGTGCCGCCAACAGGCCCCTCCGACAGAGGAGAAAACGGACTCACGGCACAGACCCAGCAGTGGGGAGCTGGGACTCGAGTGCAGTGCAGCATCTGAGTTTTAATTACTGCTTGTTTCGCTAGGCAAGAAACATATTAGAGGCGGTGGGTGTTGGGCACAGGGGTTCAGACACTGGGATGCTTGCAGCCCATGTCAGAGCCTGGTTCAAGCCCTGGCTCCACACGTGTTTGCAGCTTCCTCCACCCGGGAAGGCTGCAGGGAACGGCCCAAGCGGAGATTGCTGTCTGTCTCTCCATCTTTGAAATGAATAAATACATGAAAAATTTAAAAAGGAGAAATGCCCTTTAAAGGAATGAAGAGGAAGTTGCCTCTGAAGTCTCTCAAACACTGGGATTTTGGGCTAGTGCTGTGGTGCAGCCAGTTAAGCCACTGCCTGTAGCACCAGCATCCCAAATAGGCATTGGTTTGAGTCCTGACTGCTTGACTTCCAATCCAGCTCCCTGCTAATGCATCTGGGAAAGCAGTGGAAGGTGGCCCAAGTCCTTGGGCCCCTGCAGCCACGTGGGAGACCTAGGGGAGCTCCTGATTCCTGGCTTCAGCCTGGCCTGGGCCCAGCTGTTGTGGCCATTTGGGGACTGAACCAGCAGATGGAAGATCCTCTCTCTCTCTAACTCTGCCTTTCAAATCAATCTTTTGAAAAAACATTGAGTTTTTTTTAAGTATGCATTCTAAGGATGATAATAATGAAATAAATCATCAAGATTCCTTTTCTTCGTGGTGTTTCATTCCACAGGGCTGGGGGTTTATCCGTGGTACTTTATTCCTTTCAACAGTCACTGAAGAGGCCATGTAGGGTCAGGGACTTGCATGTGTGTTCGGGGGGTGGGCAGACAGATGTGGGTTCCCATCCTGATTCCAGGAGAGAGTGTCTGGCAATGTTTCAGACACTGCTGAGGCACCTGTGTCCCGTACTGGAATGCCTGGTTCTGAGTTCCACCTTCACCTCTGATCCCAGCCTCCTGCTGGTTCAGGTCCTGGGAGGCAGCAGGTGCTAACTCAAGTAGCTGAGTCCCTGCTACCCATGGGGGTGACCCAGAATTGAATTTCTGGCTCCCAGCTTCGGCAGATCCAGCCTGTTTTTTTTTTAAATGTTATTTTATTTTATTTTATTTTTTATTTGACAGGTAGAGTTACAGACAGAGAGAGAGACAGCTCAACCTTCCATTGGTTCACTCCCCAAATGGCCACCACAGCTGGCGCTGCACCAATCCAAAGCCAGGAGCCGGGTGCTTCTTCCTGGTTTCCCACGCGGGTGCAGGGGCCTAAGCACGTGGGACATCCTCCACTGCCTTTCCAGGCCACAGCAGAGAGCTGGGCTGGAAGAGGAGCAACCAGGACTAGAACCCTGTGCCCATATGGGATGCTGGCACCGCAGGTGGAGGATTAACCAAGTGAGCCACAGTGCCGGCCCCATGGGTCCAGCCTGTTACTGAGGGCATTTGGGGAGTGAACCATTGGCAGTAGATTTTTTTCCCCTGTCTCTCTCTACCTTTCAAATAAAAATACTTAAAAATCCCCAAACAAATCCTGATTCCAATGCTTCCTCATGGAGTGGCTCCAGGCTGATCTCAGCGCACACGTGAGCACACACGTGAACACAATGCGCACACGTGCTGCACACACGCCCGCACCCACCTACCTGCATGGCGGTCCTGCCGAGCGGCGCCTCCTCTGGCCGGTGCTTGCCATGGTGGGGGAGCTCCGTGTTCTCGCGGTAGTCGCGGCCCTTGGAGTGCTGCAGGTGCAGGACTGCTGGGCTCTTGATGGGCAGGGGTGGCCTTGGGGATGGGGTGGGTGGTATCGGCGTGGCCGCGGGCTGCTGGCCCATCTCCGACCTGGAAGGCTTGATGGGCCTCTTGGCTGGCACTGGGGCCTGGGAGCTGGCGGGGGCCTTGGGCTTCCCCTGGCTCTTGTCCCCACTGGCCGGCCTGCCCTCGGCGGCGGAGGAGGAGCAGGTGAAGGAGCGTAGTCGGGGCGCCGGGCTGAGGAAGGGCACGGGGCCCTGCTTGCCCGGGCCCTTGCTGCCCTCGGCCTCCTGGGCTTTGGTGAGCACAATGCTGGGCGACAGGAGCGCCGGGTCTGGGCAGGCCGGGGGCTCCTTCCGCAGCGGCTTGGGGGACTCCTGCTCTTTCCTGGGAGCCGGCTTAGGGAAGGCGCTCACGGAGCCGTACAGCGGGTTCTCGAACATCTCCGGCTTGCTCGGCTGCAGGTCCTCGTGCGCGGAGGCGTCGGCTGTGCTCTTCCCCAGGTCGCCAGGCCTGGGGTTGGGAGAAAGTGGACACGTGAGGGGACAGGCTGCTTCAGGGGGCTGGGCTTCTGTCTTGGGGTTGGAACAAGATGTCTCGGGGTTGGAACAAGACAGAGGTGCCGGCTGCACGGCACGGTGAACGCACTGAATGCCACCTCACTGTTCGTTTTGAAGTGGTTGATTTTATGTCATGCAAAGTTCACCTTGATAAAAAGAAATCAAGAGGAGGGGCGGTGTTTGGCGCAGCGGTTAGGAGGCTGTTTGCAGCACCTGCATCTCACATCAGAGCGATGGGTCGAGTCCTGGCTCCTCCCCTTCTGAGCCAGGTCCTGCTCATGCACACCCTGGGAGGCGGCAGGTGACAGCTCAAGGGCTTGGGTCCCTGCCACCCACTTGGTCTCTTGCCTTTGGCTTGGCCCAGCGCTGGTTGTTGCGAGCCTTGGGGACAGAGGGGGGTAGGGGTGGAGGTGGGGTGTGTGGGGGGGTGAACTTTGGCCCAGCGCCGGTTGTTGCAAGCCTTGGGGACAGAGGTGGGGGGTGAACCAGCAGATGGAAGCTTGCTCGCTCTGTATCTCTGCTTTTGCCTCTCTGTCCTGTTTGCCTTTCAAATAAAATGAAAACAAATAAACATGTTTAGAAAGACAAAAGAAGAAGAGCCGCTTCTGTTATTCACGTGTGGTCCTCACAGGCAATCCTGGTCAGGCTGGGGACGTTTTCCACCATAAGAGCAGTTCCCAGCCGGCGCCACAGCTCACTAGGCTAATCCTCCACCTGCGGTGCCAGCACCCCAGGTTCTAGTCCCGGTCGGGGCACTGGAATCTGTCCCGGTTGCTCCTCTTCCAGTCCAGCTCTCTGCTGTGGCCCGGGAGGGCAGTGGAGGATGGCCCAGGTCCTTGGGCCCTGCACCAGCATGGGAGACCAGGAAGAAGCACCTGGCTCCTGGCTTCGGATCGGCGCAGCATGCTAGCCACAACACACTGGCCGTAGCGGCAACTTGGGGAGTGAACCAATGGAAAAAGGAAGACATTTCTCTCTGTCTCTCTCTGTCTCTCTCTCACTGTCTAACTCGGCCTGTCAAAAATAAATAAATAAATAAATAAATAAAATAAAATAAAATAAAATAAAATAAAGAACGGCTCCCAGCAGAGGATCAGTGAGGAAGGGCAACTTTGCTGGAGGTTTTAGAAGAGAAAGGGAAGAGTGGACGCACACAGCACCCTCACACTGCCCCCTCCTCTTCAGAGGCCTGTGCTCCACGCCCCCAGCCCTTGCTATCACCGGGCCCCCTTTCCCGGCTTCCCCCAGGGCCCCGTCTTCAGCACTTCCACACAGAGCCTTGCAGGAGGGAAGCCTCGCTGGCCACCTGACCTGCTCCCCTCTGACCATTCGTGGTAGCTGAGGGTCTCAGCTCAGGCTGCACCACTAACAAGCACCGATGATGCGTGAGACGTGGCCCAGGGACAGCCAGGAGCCAAAGAACCAAATCTGTGCTCGGGGGACCAATCAGCACAGAGCTCTCTCCTGCAAGGCCAAGTTCCTTCCTGGGAGGGCTCCGGGGAGAGTGGTTTCCTGCCTTTCCCAGCTCGCAATGGTGCTGACAATCAGAGGGAGTCTGGACGGAGGCCAGTGTTGGGCAAAGACAAGCAAACAGGCCAGAGACGGAGAGCCAGGCTGTGACCCTGAGCGGGCGGCGTGGCCTCTGATGGAGGTGGTTCCTGGGGGCACTGAGAAGGGGCGCGCGAGCATGTTTTACGCGTTTTCTGCCCAGTGGCATACTCCATCCAGGGCAGCGCTCTGCAGAGAAGGAACCTGTCGTGAAGACAGTGGGGGTCCCCGGGCACCCCAAGGCGCCTGGCACTGACTGCTCAGCAGCTGCTCCACAGCCAAGCTCTGATCGACTTTTGGGGAGCAGACGTGGGCCCGCGGAGGGAGGCGGCTGTCATCCTTGAGCAGGTGCCATGAGACGCCATGTCGGGGGTGGTAGGGGAGGCCAGCCTCAGGGCGTGCCTAGGGACTCGACAGCAGGCTCATTACCTCCTGGAAAGGAGCGGAGAAGCAGTGCAGGAGCTGACCGTGGCCGGCCCCTCTCGGGGCTGGGAGAGGGGCGCCCCTGGGGGAATCAGGACCGTGGCTGGGAGGAGAGCCCTAGATATAAGGGTGCTTGTGCTCAGTCCCTCTGCTGTGGTCTGTCCCGCCCCCAAGTTTCTCAGGGAAGGGACAGAGTCCAAAACATCCTCCATAAATCCTGAAAACCAGAGGTGCAGTAGACACATCGGTGCCCAGGCTGCCTCCTCCCTGCCCCCTCCTGCCACCACCCTCGTCCCCACGCCCTCACCACCTCTCATCTGTCCATTCTTTATAGGAGGAGCTTAAGGACAAAACTACTGGCTGCTCCTCCCCTAAGAGGCGACGCTGGCCAGGCTGGGCGTGCACAGGTGGAGGAGCCCATGGAGGCTGCGCTATGGGTGACGCCGGCTCCCTCCGCAGGCTCCTGACGGCAAGGCAGCAGGCAGCACCCTCAGGCCACCCTCTCCCGGAGGAAGAAACAAGGCAGGCTTGGGGGAAGACAAGGTTTGACCTCTATGGAGCCGCACCTGCCATGTCCTCATCACCCTGGGGAGACCGGAACATGTCGGGACCCCGTCCAGCTCAGCGGCCAGCACGGTTTGTTCTGGGCAGTGTGTGTGAAGGGCACTGGCAGCCTTGGGAAGCACTGATGTCGCTCCTCGGTGGCCATGCCCAGCCAGGTCTGCTCCTGGCTCTGACCTCCGCCTGCACTGGTTCCAGGCTCAGAGCAGCCTTCTCGGACTGCGTGGGCCTCCCCGGGGCTTTGTGGCCAAGGCCCTCTCCCTCCCCAGGCTGGCTGCCATCTGCCTTTTGTGTTCCTATTGCCACTTGCTCCTGACTGTCACTGTCCCCAACAATTAGGAGCGGACAGAAGGTTGCACACGGGGCCTTTTCCTCCTTGTGATTGAGAGCAGAGTGGGGACTGGGTCTGGGAGGAGCTTCTGCATGGAGATTCCAACCCTGTCCACGGGGCCTCCAGGAGTGAGAAACGCCTGGGAGTTCACGGTTCTGGAAATCCATTCTGAACAAATATAGTTCTTATAGGAGGTTGCTTTTCTTGGCAGTATCTTTACAATTTTCTAGCCCCTTTATTTATATTTTTTCACTTGAGAGGCAGAGAAACAGAGAGAGAACCAGAAAACCAGAGAGTGAGCAGGAGAGGGCTTCCATCTGCCGGTTCGCTCCCCAGTGCCTGCAGTGGCCCCCAGCCGGAGCCTCGGCCAGGAGCCAGGAACTCAATCCAGGTCTCCCACGTGGGTAGCAGGAACCCAGTGACTGGAGGCATCACGGGGCCACTCTGATAAGGGACACAGGTGTATTTTGTTGTTGCTGTTACAATGTGTTTATGCTTGTTTTTCTTTTTTTTAATGTTTATTTTATTTTACTTGAAAGGCAGAGTTTTTAGAGCGAGGGCGAGACACAGACAAGTCTCCCATCCTCTTGTTCACTCTTCAAATGGCCACAAACAACCAGGGCTGGCCCAGGCCAAAGCCAGGGGCCTGAAATTCCATCTGGGTCTCCCATGAGGATGCCAGGGGCTCGAGCACTTGGGCCGTCCTCCGCTACTTTCCCAGGCGCATTAGCAGGGAGCTGGGTTGGAGGCGGAGCAGCCCCGGCGCTCATATGGGATGCTGGTGATGCAGGTGGTGGCTTAACCCACTGTGCCACAACGCTGGCCCCAGGCCACGGGTGTCGGAACTGGTGTTTTAGCCCCTGTGTAAACACCGCCTGCCCTCCTTTTCTAGAATCCAGTTGTACCAGTAGGTTAGGAGAAGGGAGGCCCACAAACAGGTCTCGAGTGCCGACTGTGTTCCGGGCCTGGGGATGTCAGCGTGAAGTGGACACAAGCCCCTGCCCTCCCAAGGCTGCCGTCCCGGGGCAGACGCAGGGACCTGCGGTGAGCAGAGAGGGGAGGGCAGAGGAAGACGCTCACCGTGACTCCTGCGTCCTGAGACAGGGGCCCCGGTTTGCCACTGAGGACGAGAACTTCTTTGGCGACAGGGGCGGCTGGGAGGGAGGTGTCGGAGGGCTCTCGCCCCTGCCGGGCCCCAGTGAGGAGTCCTTGGGCGGCTGGTCGTAGCTCCAGGCTGTGAGCTGCTGGTCAGGGGACAGCGTCTGCTTCCCGGGCAGGGGTGCTGGCTGCCCAAAGGGCCCCATCCCCATGTAGTTGGGGTTGATGATTTCGGTGATGTTGGAGCCACTGCATGGAGGAGCCCTGCGGGAAGACGTAGAGTTAATCTCAGGGCTCCCTGTCTTTCCTGGGGTCAGCGCCAACCCAAGGTGGCCCCAGGCTCTCCTCAGTTCTCATTCAGTTACACAACAGAACAGGTACTGAGGGTGTAGCAAGCACCAGGCCTGGGCCAGGAGGAGGGAGTGTGGTCCTGAATGAGGCAGCCGTGGGCTCCGTTTTTGGGGGATGGACAAACAGGCCCAGTGGCAGGGCCATGGTACAAGGGGTTCCACGATCCCCCAGGGGATTTTTGAACCCGTGATAGGACAACATCCTCTAGACAAGGGACTTCAAAAAGTTCATGGAAAAATGGAACTAAGAGGTAAGTTTATTTTGGTGCAAAAACATTTTAAAATCCATGCATAGTTTTTTCATAATACGTGTTTTTCACGAGCTTTTTGGAGCATGCTCGTATACTATGAGTTTTTGTATATCCACATATCTATGATGAGGCTTAATTTATAAACGAGGCCTAGGAAGAGTTTAGAGACAATAGATAACAAGAAAACGGAACAATGATGACAAATACCGTAATAAAAAGTTACTTGAAACATAAGACTTGTCTGTTTCTGGAACTTTCCATTGAATATTTTTGTACAGTGGCTGACCATGAGGAAATGACACTGAAGCAAACCCTCAGATAGGAGAGACCCAGGGGACCAACACCGGTCCTGATTCTGGAGCCGAGAGGTGCTTTAGAGCTAGGATGCACTTGTTGATGGGATACTGACAGAAGGAGGCTGCCCATGGCTCTGACCATCACAGCTGGATGTAGACCAAGGAATGGGCTAGCAACAGGCATTCCTGTGTGCACAGAGGGTGTGAAGGGTGAGGGCTGGAGGGACAAGCAGTGTGGGGACCGCAGGGAGCAGAGGGACAGCTATGCCTGCTCCTGGCACATCTCTGCCCCATCAGCAGGTGAGTTCGCAAAGACCCGGGTGCTCACTGGCTAGATTCTGGCACTCAAGGCCCCACAGGTGAGCTGAGGCAACCCTGCTAGTGGGGACAGCTGTCCCCTTGCAACGCTGACTTGATCTGGATTATTCCCAAGTCAATCTCTGTCAAGAGCAGCATGCACGCACTGCCCCCTTGAACTCTCCCTTTGGGTGAGGATGGGGCTTGCTGAGCTCAGGCGCCAGGGCTGCTGGTGCCCCCTTGCTCCCAGGAGACCTGGCGGTGACCTCTGCACTCACTTCTTCCTGGGCTGCAGTGAGCTCCCAGGTCAGGCTCTGCCCCCGACTTCCCCTGGTTCCTCCAGACCCTGACATGCAGCAGGTGCCCCACAAACGCTGGCGGAGCTGAGCTGAACGGCTCAACACAGGAGCCTCCCCAGCTCCACCAGGGTGACCCCAACGGCCCCGTGACGGGAGCCATGATCAGAAGTGAGGGCAGAGAGCTCCCCCCTGGCCTGGGGACCCCGGCTTCCTCCCTCCTTGGCCCTCTCGCAGGCCAGGGTCTGCAGAGCCAAGCTGGTTTGTGACAAGCCCCGGCCCCCAAGCCCTACCTGCTGGCTGGCTCCCACTGCTTCATGGGGTCGTGGCTGGTGAGGCTCTTCAGGGACTTCAGCCCGCTGGTGTCATCCCGCTCTGTCTTCACAAAATCTGGAAGACAAGGGCCAGGAAAGAGCACGGGAGAGCAGGTGAGACAAAACGGCTTCCATTTTCAGGAAGCGGGGCAGGGAGTGACGGCCACCTGGCAGGTGGGTTAAGCAAGATTCTGAGGCCTCTTATGAGTGCAGGGATGGACTGGTTATGGCTGCCATGGCTCCAAAGCGAGAATTGGCACGAGTGACCCAGAATTGCTGTTTCACATGACTTTTCCAACTTGTTGACCTCAGCAAGGGGCGAAACAAGCAGACATTTCTCGTCAGCTTAGAATACGACAAACACAGCGGGGCACTTGTTACTCAAAGCCAACCTGCTCTGGCCTGTGGTTGCAGAGAGGCGTGTCTGCCATCACCCTGACCAGGTTTTGTGGCCAGCAGGGGGCGCCACACGCACAGCAGGCAGCACCCGGGGTTTGGACAAGCGGGGATGGTGGGGTCTCCCTGTGGCAGGCAGGGAAACATCCCATCTCCGAGTCACTCAGCACCGGGTGGGCTTGCACTCGCCCCTTCCCAGGGAGGTGACCTTCAGCCCATCACACACTGTGCTGCCTCAGTTTCCCCGGGTGCCAGTCAAGGACAATCGTTGGCTCACAGGCTGGTGTGACAGGCACACGAGATGACATTTAGGAGACGCTCCGGTCACACATCCTCAAGTTCACGGTTCAAGCCCAACTCATCGTAGGTGCTGTGACCTGGGTGCTTCTGAGTAGGCATCAAAGGGAAGGGGGAGTGGAAAATGGGGAAAAAAGCTACCTGCTGCCCGGGTGAAAGGGAAGAAAGACTCAACTAAGACGTGCGCAGCTCTGCTCCTGCCGAACCTTGCAGTGTTTCAACTTGGGAAGTTCTACCCAACCGATACTATTGGAAAGTATAAATTTAATGACTTTACTTTCCAAGTTTCAAAATTTTGGGTATGATTTAGAGCAAATGACAAATTCAGGGGCTGGCACTGTGGTGTAGCAAGCTAAGGTGTCGCCTATGATGCTGGCATCCCACATCAGAGCACAGCGTGGAGTCCTGGCTGCTCCGCTTCCGATCCAGCTCCCTGCCAATGGGAAGGCAGTGGATGAAGGCCCAACGGTTTGGGTCCCTGCCACCCATGTGGGAGAGCTGAATGGAGTTCCAGGCTCCTGGCTTCAGCCTGGCCCAGCCTGGCCATTGCAGCCATTTGGGGAGTGAACCATCAGATGGAAGAAATATCTCTCTCTCTCACTCTGTACTTCAAATAAACCAATATTTTTTACATGACAGATTTGAATTCAGACACATCCTTGTGCGGTCCCTCTGGCCACATCTCCGCATTCTCACAACAGAGTGATGGCGGTTTTGACCTTAGAGATGCATCAGCAGGATCTCCTTGGGGACGGGGTGGGGAGGGGATGACTCCTAAGGCTGCCATTCAAGGGTGGGGGGGGGTGTCAGAATCGCCCGTAGGAGTCTGTGTCACCAAGGGTGGTGCTGAGAGCCACCTGGCCACCCTCCCAACGGCCAGCATCGCAGCAGCTGAGCGGAGTGACTGTCAGAAAGGGGAGTTGGGGACGATGATGGCACCCACTGGGGATGGGGGACCAGAGGACCTGGCCATACTGGGGGTGGCTGGCACCGGAGTAGGGACAGGCCAGAGAGACATAGGAGGATGACGGTGGGGCTTCTGGCCGCGGGGATGAACGTGGCCAGGGAGGAGAGGGAAATTCTCCACCTTAGCTGTGGCCACGGCTTTCCTCGGTGGCGACGACAGCGCTGGTCCCTAGGCAGCGGCCCTGCTGGTCCCCAGGCAGTGGCGCTATTCGGGGCGACAAAGCCCGGAGATGCTAAGAGGCCAGAGCGGAGGCCTTGGGGGACCCTCAAAAGCTCTGGGCCCTAATGGGTGTCCCCTGACGTGTCGGGAGGGGCCGGCCACGGCTGCTGGGCCCTGGGGCTCCGTGGGAAGATCCCTGCGCCACGCCGGGTCCGCGCTCCCAGGCGCCGCGGAGGACGCGCGGCAGCTCGGCGGGACGCGCCCGGCTCACGCGGCCCCACTTACCGTACAGCTTCTCCCGCTTCTTGCCCTGAGCCGTCTGCAGCTTGATCTCCCCGTGGAAGTGGCCGGTCATCTCCCCGTGGTGCGTGAGCGGCGTGTGGGTGGCCAGCGGCGTCTCGGTGGCCTCCAGCCGGAGAGCGATGCAGCCCTCGCCTGAGGGGACAGGAGAGACAGGAGCCACGTCAGGACGGCCCAGAGGCTTGCGGCTCTGCACCGGCGTGGGCGACCTGGAAAAGGCTCCCAGCGCCTGGCTTTGGATGGACCCAGCTCCGGCCATTGAGGCCATCTGGGCAGTGAACCAGCCTCTCTCTCTCTCTTTCTCTCTTTCTTTCTCCCCTCCCCCCCCAGTAACTCTGCCTTTCAAATAAATAAATCTTTTTTTTAAATCCCACAGGGGGCCAGTGTTGCCGCGCAGAGGGTTAAGCCACCACCTGTGACAACGGTGTCGCACATCAGAGCACCAGTTTGAGTCTTGGCTGCTCCACTCTGGACTCCTGCCAACGTGCCTGGGAAAGCAGTGGAAGATGGCCCGAGCACCTGGGCCCCTGCCACCCACATGTGAGACCCAGAAGTCCGGGTTCCTGGCATTGAAGCCATTTGGGGAGTGAACCCCGTGGATGGACATTTTCTGTTTCTTTCTCCATCTCTCCCTCTGTCTCCATCACTCTGCCTTTCAAATAAATGAAATAAATCTTAAACCAAACCAAACCAAAATGAACAACGACACAAAACCACCCCTAGGAGCAATGCTGAGCAATATGGGGCACGTGTTTCCCAGCTCACAGCAGCACAACCTCCACCTGATTAGCCCACGTGAAAAAAGACAAAAAAGGGGGTGGAAATCACATTTCAGAGGAAACTTCAGAAAGCCAGGAATCAGTGCTAACCAGCTTGCTCTAAAGGATGATGACTTCCCAAGGTTTGAAGCAATGCAAACATTGACAAGCTGGACTGGCAGGTTGGAGGCTATACAAATTTCAAACTTCTGCACAAAGAAAAAAACTAACATAAAAGGAAACTGACAGGGAGTGGCACCTGCAGCCAGAGTCACAGACAACGAGGTGACACCGCTGAACCCCGGGGACTCCTCGAAGTGGAACCCCCGCAGACAGGCAGGCAGATACATCCCGACAGATGCTTCGCACAGAAAGAATGGCAGCCGGCTGATTCAATAAATGGGAATGGTTCTGCCTTCTTAGCCAGAAAAATGCGAGTTAATGAAGCAGCGAAGTACTTTTGTTTAAAAGATTTATTTATTTATTTGAAAGTCAGAGTTATACAGAGAGAGAAGGAGAGGCAGAGAGAGAGAGAGAGGTCTTCCATCTGCTGGTTCACCCCCAATTGGCTGCAATGGTTGGAGCTGTGCCAATCTGAAGCCAGGAGCCAGGACCTTCTTCTGGGTCTCCCACGCAGGTGCAGGGGCCCAAGCACTTGGGCCATAATCTACTACTTTCCCAGGCCATAGCAGAGAGCTGGATCGGAAGTGGAGCAGCTGGGACTCGAACCAGCACCAATATGGGGTGCCAGCACTGCAGGCGGCAGCTTTACCTGCCCAGTGAAGTACTCTTAAAAGGCACAAAGTTAGCACAAAGTTCCAGCAAGGATGTGGGGACCCCCAATCTTTGAATGTGGCAAGATCTACAGAGACGGCCTCCCCAGCTATCAGTTTGACAAGGGCCACGAATCCCAAGCATATGCGGGGTCTTCAAAAGTGTGCGGCAAATGCACAATGCCTTTTAATTCCATCAGCCTGCAAATTAAAAAACAGAGAGAAAAGAGCTCCTATTTGCTGGTTCATTCTCCAGCCCATAATAACTGGGGCTGGGCCAGGCCAAGGTCAGGAGCTCAGAAAATCCAAGTCCTTGAGTCGCAGGCTAGGCATTAGCAGGATTTGGAGTTGTGAGCTGAAGCCGGGCATCACACTTAGGTACTGCAACATGGGACATGGGCATCTCAACCAGCTTACCAACCACTAGGCTAACACCTGCCCCACAGTTTCTGAGGTGCCCTCATGTTGATGCCCTCTGACCCTGCAAATGTGGGAACCTGTCCTCAGAGAGGATCCAGAAGAATAAAAATGGGGGCCGGCGCCGTGGCTCACTAGGTTAGTCCTCTGCCTGTGGTACCGGCACCCCATATGGGCGCTGGGTTCTAGTCCTGGTTGCTCCTCTTCCAGTCCAGCTCTCTGCTGTGGCCCCGGGAAGGCAGTGGAGAATGGCCCAAGTGCTTGGGCCCTGCACCCGCATGGGAGACCAGGAAGAAGCACCTGGCTCCTGGCTTCAGATCAGTGCAGCGCTGGCTGTAGCGGCCATTTGGGAGTGAACCAACAGAAGGAAGACCTTTCTCTCTGTCTCTCTCTCTCTCTCTCACTGTCTATAACTCTACCTGTCAAATAATAATAAAAAAAAAAGAATAAAAATGATGCTGACGGGGCTGGTGCTATGGCATAGTGGGTAAAGCTGCCACCTGCAGTGTCAGCATTCCACATGGGCACCGGTTCAAGTCCCAGCTGCTCCTCTTCCAATCCAGCTCTCTGCTGTGGCCTGGGAACGCAGTGGAAGATGGCCCAAGTCCTTGGGGCCCTGCACCCACATGGGAGACCTGGAAGAAGCTCCTGGCTCCTGTGGAGCAGCCGGGATTCGAACCAGCACCCATGTGGGATGCTGGCATGACAGGCGGTGGCTTTCCCCACTATGCCACAGTGCTGGCTCCAAGGGAGCACTTTTAAAAATGATGCAGGGGCCGGCACTGTGGCAGAATGGATTGAGCTGCCGCCTGTGGTGCCAGCATCCCACCTGGGTGCCAATTCAGGTCCTTCCCGGCTGCTCCACTTCCGATCCGGCTCCCAGCTGATGCGCCTGGGAAAGCAGCGGAAGATGACCCAAGTGCTTGAGTCTCTGCCACGCATGTGGGAGACCCGGATGGGGTCCCTGGCTCCTGGGTTTGGTCTGAGCCAGGTCCAGCCATTGTGACCATTTGAGGAGTGAACCAACAGATGCAATCAATCTCTCGTCTCCCTTCTCCTCTCTCTGTAATTCTGCCTTTCAAATAAATAAATAAACCTCTTTTTTTTTTTTTTTTAAAATGAGGATACAGCGAAGCCAAGGCATATTTTGGAGGCCATGCAGATCACGTATCAGGAACAAGGACAATGTGCAGCCCACAAGCAGGGGAGGAAAACGGGCCATGCACTGGCCCCTGAGCAGGGGGACCTGCATCTCCCTGCATGCCAGGACAGAAGCAAGAATTTATGAGGAACAGCCTTTGTGCCGGGCGTCACTGTGGGGTGACGTCACAGTGCTGCATTTGGGAGGAGACCGAGGCTGTGGGGTCTGCAGCTGGGCTGCTTGGGGTTCAAGTCCAAGTTCGAGCAATTGCTTTCCTCAAGTCATTCCGTAGCTGCACAACCTGGGGCAAATCGCTCGGGCCTCCAAGCTGCCTTCCCCCACTCCCGCAGTGCTGGCCGAGGGCAGCTCCCCGTGCGGTTAACCCATGTGTCGGCAGCCTCTCTCTCAGAATTCATGCACATTCAGGTCTCGTCATCCCAAACAGGTGCCTCAACACCAGGCCCGCTCTTGGACCAGGCTCACGGTCTCTGCCTCCCCACCCGCACCTGCTCCCTGACTGCTGGAGTCTGTGCTCACTGCTGCCCTCCACAGCCGCTGCTCCCACCGAGCCCCTGGGTCTAGGGGACACTGCTCCGTCTTTACTTTGCTGTCCCCTCGCCACATCTGCTACTGTAACCACGGCCTCTTGTGATGTGGTCCCCACATCACGCCTTGTGCTTTCCTTCTGACCCCCCCGGCTGTGCCTTCTCTGTCTCCTTTGCCAGTGGTACTGGGACTGGCCCACTGCCGGAAATGGGAACACTGTTCACCCAGCTGTGCGAACCCCAGTGCGGCTTCATCCTTACCCACAGCCCCCCACCCTCCAATCCCCATGGCCACACAGTCTCCCCCTGTAGCACCTCTCACTTTTAGCCCCTCCTCTCCCTTTTTACTATCACTCCCTCCACCCTGGCTCCCTCGTTTCTAAGTTTGATCGCTGCAAACATCAGTTTGCAAATCTGATCATGTTGCTGTCTTGCTCAAATCTTTGGTGGCTCCCTATTATCCTTGGCCTGGCTTGTTAAGAACTTCTTGGTCTGTCGCTTGTCTCTAGCCTCTCTCTCTCTCTCCCTCTCTCTCTCTCTCTCTCTCGCCACCTGCTTTCTCGCCCTCTGCTCCACCCAAGTTCAGTGGTGAACCTGGCACTGGGCCAGAGCCATGAATGGGCTGAAGATGTTAACAAGAGCCGTGGTGTCTCTGGTAGCTCAGTGGGTGGAGCTGCAGGACTCCACAGCCCCCCGAAGTCCGGAAGCCGGGCAATGCTGACCAGAGATCGCCGGGCAGATGCGTCCATCACCCCCAGCCACACTCAGAACTCTACCACATTTCATTCCAAATCCGGGGGGCTGGGAGAAGACAGTATTCACGCCGAGGGTGGCCACTGCAGGGCAGAAGAAAGAGCGCCTTCGTGTGTGAGCAGGTGTTTTAGAGACCCGCCCAGGAGGGCGGGGCCTGCAGCTCTGCAGCTGTGGTGAGCAAGCAGCACAGCGGGGCAGGCAGACCTGGGTTCAGACTAGGCTCAGCCAACTACTGCCGTGTGATGGCTCAGACTAGGCTCAGCCAACTACTGCCGTGTGATGGTTCAGACTAGGCTCAGCCAACTACTGCCGTGTGATGGTTCAGACTAGGCTCAGCCAACTACTGCCGTGACTTGGGTGAGCCCCCTGACCTCTCTGAAGCGCCATGTGCCCATCTCTGGACGGGGAGACTAGAACCTTGGTTCGTAAGGTCTTGGCAGGACTGAATCCAACAACGTCTGCAGAGCACCAGGCGTGGACTGGGACGTGGGGAAGGCTCAGAGGTGGAAGGCATGGGCAGAAAAGGTGACCGCAGACGCCTAAGCAAGTCGAACACTGTCCCTGCTGGGAGGCCACCCTGTAGCTGCTTCCAGCGTCACCAGACCTTCCCACAAATCTCTGCTGTACCGCAAGGAGTGCGCTTTCTGCCTGTGGGTCACTGTGGGAGGAGAGGGTCACGGCCCCATTGTTCTCCATCCCATGTGGAAAGGACGCGTGCCTCCCTAGTCAATGAGACTTCCTAACCAATCAGCAGGTCTGTTGGCTGGTACCAGGCGACCTTCAGTTTTCAGTGTGACTCATGACCACCCAAACACCTGCACTGTTCTAAACCTGACTCAACGCAGGCACTCAGCCCGTAAGGAAACAATAGACCCTGTCGCCTAACTCAGCACAGCCCAGTGACTGCTTATTTCCGGGTTGGAATCCTCAGTTTGACCAGCGACTTTGATTTTCTCAGACTCTGATTACTGCAGCTGACAGAGGCACTGCGGCTGCTGTTAGGCCCGGAAGCGGAACAGGAGGGGCAGAGAGGACAACTCACTGGTCATGGTCCCTCTGGCCGCCCTGAGATTGGGCAGGGAGTGGCAGGAAAACAGGATGGAAAGCCGCAGGTGGGCTTTCCCCGGAGGAGACGCCACGGCCTCCCTCACCGCAGAGGCCGTGGGCTCACGGGCAGGTGCAGCACCTGTCATAGGCTCTTACCGTAGGACTCATCACTGTCGCAAGACTTAATGCTGATGAGGACGTGCTGGTCCAGCAGGTACTCGGGGTCGGAGATAATGGGTGTCAGCTGCGGAGAGAAGGGCACGGGTGAGCGCTAGCAGGGGGAGCAGGTGAGGGAACAGGTGTGCAGACAGGTGGATGAGGGGCACTGGTCTGCACGTGGGGAGTTCGGGGAAAACAGGACAGGCGATGTCCTTATTAACCACATTCCGGCCTCTGGCTCCACGCCCAGGAGAGCAGGTGTACAGCAAGGCAGGTGCGAACTTTCTCCCATGTCCTCACCACCACACTGCGCTCCAAGCCTCCTAAGTCGGGCTGAGTGCCCCAGGGAGAGGCCTGACCTCAAACAGCCCCTCTGTTGCCTCCCTCTCCTCCTCTCCCAGGATCGTGGCAGGTGGGGCCGGGCCTGGAGTGGCAGCAGAGCCTCCCGTGTGGGCTGGAGTGTCCTGCAGGTTGTTGGAGGTTTGGCCCAATGGATGATGGGCACAGGCTCCTGCACGCCACTGTCCCCACCTCCCTGCTGGGAGCAATTTTTCAGAGTCAGGGTCTGGCTCAGGGTGGGTTCACACCAAGCTTTGCACACCACTGGGTGAAACTCAAAGGGCTGGGTGCGTGCAGGTGCAGGGCAGAGCTTATGTGCAGGCTAGCTCCTGCAGGCTGGTCACCGGGCAGCCTCTGGGTTTTCCCAACTCAAAGCTGATTCTTCTCCTTTTTAAAAGCCTTTATTTACTTATATTTATTTGGAAGGCAGAGAGACAGAAACGGACAGGCACGGAGAGATCTTCCATTTTCTGGCACACACCCCAGTGGCCGCAACAGCTGAAGCTGGGGCAGTCTGAAGACAGGAGCCCAGAACACGATCCGGGTCTCCCACCTGGGTGGGCAGGGACCCACACACTGGAGCCCTCATCTGCCGCCTCACAGGGTACACATTAGCAGAAAGCTGGAATTGGGGGCAGAGCTAGGACTTGAACCCAGGCCCTCAACATGTGTCCTAACAGGTGCACGCAATGCTCCCGTGATGGCCCCAACACAGAAAGGTTGAGTCTGAAGGTCAGACTTTGCTCTGAGTGGTCCCTGTCTTCCCTCTACAGAAGGGACATGATGAGGGCTTTGGGGCCATGTTGGCCAACAGCACGGACTTAGTATATCTCCATTCAGAAAGTTCCGGATCAAATGGCTGGAAGTCAGTGGGAACTCTGGGCTGTTCTGGGATGCAGGGGCTGCTCCCGTCGCTGGCTTCCCTGATACACAACAATGTCTGCCCTAGGGTTAAACCCAGGGCTGGGGTTGGGGGCTGCATAGGCAGGAGGGGGATCCCATCATCAGTAGGCTGCTTTGGGGCATGACAGAGGCCCACACAGCGAGCGACTCTGAGGGACACAACCAGGACGGCAGGGATGGGGAGGCAGACCCCCTAGGGTGCTGATGTGGGGATCTCGAGGGAGAAGGGAGGGGACCGTCAGGTGACAGAGGAGGTGGTGGAAGGTCCAGGAGCAGAACTGTAGCAAAGACCATGGAGGGGCTGCAGGGACAGCAAATGAGGCTGGAGAGGTGCCCTGCTTGGCGCCACAGAGTTGGCCAGATAAAGAGAAGGACACCATGATCAGATGGGCATTCCAGAAAGATCCACCAGGCTTCAGGATGACTCAGCAGGAAACCAGGAGGGACAGAGACCAAGGGGAGGGGTCAGGGCAGGAGGAGCAGCAGGACTTGGCGAGAGTTAGGATGTGGGGAGTGCAGGGCCCTGGAGGGCCTGGAGCTGGAGCAGAGGGTGAAGCCATGGTCGGGAGAACGTGAGCCCTCCACCTGTTCAAGGCCAGCCTCTGACAGTGACCCTGGGGTCAGGCATTGGCCTTGCAGTTCAGGCGCTGGTGGAGATGCCAATGGCCCACATCAGAGTGGCCTGAGCTCGACTCCTGGCTCTGGTTCCTAACTCCAGCTACCTGCCAGTGCCGACCCTGGAAGGTGATGGTAACGGCCACTCCCGTGGGAGACTCAGACTCAGTTCCCAGCTGCTGGCCTGCTTGGCCCTGGCCCAACCCTGGCGATTATGGGCAATAGGGGAGTGAACCAACAGATATGAGTGTGCGCGCTTGCTCTCTCCTCCTGAATTTAAAAATAAAAGCCCCTTGGGTGTCACCTCCAAGGGACTTCCTGGGAGAGCCCCTGCGACCCCTGCCCTCTGTGACGGTTGGACCTGGCCCCGGGCTCCCCTTCTTTGTACCTCTCGCTTGTGCTGTGAGGAAGAACCAGGTCCTACTCCACTTTGCACCCAGTGTGAACATCGGAGACCCAGCAAACTCCTATTCCGCCTCCCTGCCAACCTGGCGTCACGAAAGCGGCTTGCCTGCCGGTGTTCAGTCCCCTCCCTACTCACGCAGGGCCACAGACGCATCAAGCATTTCCTGTGCTCACAGTGCCGACGGGCTCCTGGCTACCGCAGACTCCTCGCTCTGTCCTCACTGACCCTGCCAGCTGGCGCTGGCTGCAGGTGGATGAGTGCGAGAGGGAGCTGGGGACTTGGGGGCTGGGTCCTGAGGCTGCCACCACAGCCAGGAGCCGATGCACAGGCCCTTCTCTCTCAGCTCTGCACCGCAGTGTCCCTCTTGCAAAGTCACATGGTTAGAGGAGTGGACTTCTAGATCCTTCTGAGATCCATTACAGGAACTGAAAACCACCCAGGAATACAGGGGCCGCTTCTACCACTGCTGAAAAGTGTGTGTGGCCAACAGCCTGGAGAGCTGGCCTCCCCTGCATGTAGTCTGAGGGACTTCCGCCCGCTCTGGGCAGGCCTGGCCATAGCTGTGCGGCTGGCCACCTCCCCCCAGCCCGGAGAAGGCACGCGTCTCCCTGGAGACGGCCTTGCCTTTGGGTTACCTTGGGAAGGGACTCGCCAAACTTCACCACCAGCTCCCCCTCACTGCCTTCTTCATTTTCTCCTTCCTGGCTCTTGACGAAACCTGTTGGGGGATAAGAAGGCTGGCTTTGCAGGAGACAGAGCAAGGACCATGCAGAAAACACTCCTCAAGTGCCCCCCACCCCCGGGGCCAAGGACGATGCTCTCTTCTCCCAGCTCCAGGCCCCTTGGCATCGTCCGGAGTCAGGCTTGGGGGGGACCCTGTGTCTGCGCAGGGGGCAGTCACTTGCCATCGTGGTCTAGTTATTTTTAGGAAAAGCAGAGCGATGCCCCCTCCTTTTCAGCTCCTCTTTGCACCAAACCAGGCAACAAAGAAATCATCACATCACAGGCAAGGAGATTAGGAAACATGACAGCTCGTCCCACGCCACTCAAGATAGCAGCCTTTTGAAATTCTAATTTAAGCTTCCTAATATGCTGTTTCCATAGAAATGTATGCAAATGTCTCGGGTTTATTAAAAACAACCGCACAAAACTCCTCGTCCTTTTTGGAAACCGCTTTGACCCTGGAGCCTGCAGACTGCTGCATCCCAGGCCCCGGGGCTGGCTGAGGGGGAGAAGGGATGGAGCGGCGGCTGGCAGCACACGTCTCCCTGAAGCCTGGAAGCATCCCAGCCAGGCCCTCACCAAACGCCTCCTTCCAAGGAGTCACTCCCCTGCTGCTGCCCACGCCGCTACCCAGAGCATCCAGCGAGGAGAGCCCGCACCACGGAGGAACAGCTTCACGCACACGGCTGGAAATGTCACCCGGCCAGCGTGCTTCCTACCCGCCGCGGATGATGGCTGGGGTGGGGTGGGGCGGGGTAGGGGGTGCTGTCCATCTCCAGGGATGTCCAGAGCAAGGGGCTCATGGTGCCGAAGGAGCAGCAGGTGTCAGGCCCCCAGCAGGCAGCTGCCCGGCCCTGGCGCCAGTGCCCATGAACTCTGCAACTTTGCCCAGGACTCTCGGGTTGAGTTGGAGCTTGGTGGGGCGGGGACCTCAAGTGGCTCTGCCCTGAGGGGGCAGGGAGAGGAGCCAGCTGCCCACGAGGGGCCGGGGTGGGTACATCAATGGCTGTGCCTGCCCTCAGGGTGTCCACTTCGCCCCTCCCCCTGCTGTCACTTCTCTGACCCCACCGAGCTGCATCTGGGAGCCCATTCCAGAGACAGGAGAAGCGGGGTGTGGTGCCATTCACGGGAAGGCGTTATGAGCAAGAGGCGCGGCCCGTTCCCACCCCACCCCAGGTCCCCAGCTACACACTCTCCAGGCAGCTCGAGTGGAACTCCAGGTAGAACTTGGTCTGGGACTTGGTCTTCAATGTGGCGTAGCACCTGAGAAACTCAATCTGCCCTTGGCTGTCGACCGTCCCGGGACCTGGGAGGAACAGGGATTTCGGTCACACAGTGTGCCTGGGGAGGGGCGCTTCCAGCCAGCCTCTCCCTGCGGCTTCCTCCCTCGCCAGGCTCAGTGCCCAGGCTGCGCTCCCGCGGAGGTGCGTGTCCAGGTGGACGAGGGGGAAGCTTTGCTGAGGGCAAGCTCCCGTGAAGCCACCAGCACGCGGAGCCTCGCTGGTGGAGCAGACGAGCCTCGCTCTCAGCTCTGCTGCCACGGTGCACGGCCTCAGTCGCCGGATCGCTCCAGCAGAGAATAAAGAGTGGCTCAGCTGCTCTATTCCCACATGTCTTCCGTTTCTGAGCTCACAGAGTGGGGGTCCCTGTTCTTTCCCCCTCAGACACAGCCACCCCCACTCCCTAGCCGGGCTCTGTACTGAGTCAACAGCTCATGTCTTTTTACATTGGCTTTAAAGATTTTTTTATTTATTTGAAAGGCAGAGTTACAGAGAGAAGAGGAAGAGGAGGAGGGGGAGGAGGAAAAGAAAGGGGGGAGAGAGAGAGAGAGGGAGAGAGAGAGAATCTTTCATTTGCTGCTTCACT